TTACAATTATTGCTATAGCATCTATGCCATCACTTAAAGAGGGTAATTGTAAGAGTTGGTAAGTTAGAGAATTTTTAATGATTATGGCGACACCGCCATACCAATCAGATCTGTCTTTTCTAAGGGTGGAATAACCAGTTACTTTGAAAGGGTAGCCAGGTTTCAACCATGTTTCTGAAAGACAAAGCATAAAGGGATGAAGTGCATTTATTAAATAAAAAATGTCAGATTTTTTACTGGAGGCACTTCTACAGTTCCACTGTAGAATTACTGGGTCCATATTGAGGACGAATTAAAACAGAATTTTCAATAACATTGGCAACGTAGGACGGTTCAAATTTAGTCTGAATCATATTTGATTTAGTCAAGAAATTTACAATGGCTATGATAATGTCCGAGATAGATGTCTGTGAACTAGTATCAGAAGAGGCTTTAAGTGCTGAACCATTAGGGAAAGCTAAAGATAGGTTGTAATCTTTTGCAAATGAATCATGTGCAGCACGATCATACCCACCCGCTACTTTAGGAGGGGACCGTGGTTGAACAAACACTGTTTTTTTATAAGATTTATTAGTTGAATGAGCCTCTGCTGAAACTGTGTAGTTATTGTTCAGCCTACTATCATTAGATTTTTGTTGAGAGGAGCGAACTGCATCAGCAAAAGATCTTGAAATTGGAGGGTGATGTTTTGATGCTTCGGAATATGATATACTACTTTGGGCCATGGACACTTTAATTTCTTTTTGACGGGCAAATTCAGGACAGGATTTGCTATTTGCAAAATGGAATCCAGAACATAGGCAACAAGAAGCATAATCTACATGTACTGAGCAGGTTTCAGCAGTATGGTCTTCACCACATTTTAGGCAACGGGGTTTGGATCTACACTGCATTTTAGTATGACCATAACGGCAACAACGGTAACATTGTATTGTAGGATATATATACAGTTCAACAGATAAAGCAGTATAGCACATATAAATGCGCTTTGGTAAAACTTGTCCATCAAAGGTGAAAATTACAGTTTCGGAGTTATTAAATATTGCAGTCCCACTTACAATAGTTTTCCGCTTGATACGTCTAACTTTAATAATTTTACCGCACCCAATAGGCACTGAAACATTTTCAAGAACTTCATCATCTGTCCAATCGGCAGGGACACCACGCGCTACTCCATACGAGTCACATTAAAAGTAGGAATAAAAGCTTTAAATTTGTGACTGGCAAGACTGGGGTTATCAACAAAATTATTCGCATCAGCAACACTAGAGAAAGCCAAACTAAGCCTGTTGCGATCTATTCTTTTCAAACTTCCGTTTACAATGTTTTTAACAGAGTTATTTTTTAAAAAGTTTCCAAACTGCACAGGATGGAGCGTAACACGATCATCAGCTGTACTTTGTTCTTTCTGGACATGTACTACGTATGGGGCTAAATCTGTCACTTCATACTTCTTACCACCCTGTGGCCTTGAATTTGAAACAGAATCACCAACATTTGTTACAACATTGTTAGTACTATTAGTAGCACCAACAATGTTAGCATTGGTATCAGCAACAATGGGTAATTTAAATTTCTTGGAACATTCTTCCTCAGATTCAGAACATTGACAATAGGTAAAGAGACTGGTTTGCCATCTCTTTTCCTACGTTTTTTATTACAATGACGGCAGATTTTCCGGGGTTTAACTCTTTTACGGTCAAGCATAGGAAGGCTGCCTTCAGTGTCCATTGATGAGTCGTCAATAACAACATTATAGGCTACTGGAGGCCCAGAGCCTCCTCCTGGGTCGTCAGGGGGATCGACCCCCATATTAAAGAAAGACTCACCTATATACGAACACTAAACACTAATTACAAAAAATATTACATAAACTATAACTAAAAGAAAGAGTAAATACAAAAATTTACACAAATAACTCTAACGATCCCAAATTAAATTAATTTGAAAATAAGAAAGTAAAAAACACGTCCGCCAAATCAAAGGTTTCCCGCGCCTTTTTTTTCATTCAATATTTGATTGTTGCAAAAACCTCATCTATCTATTCTATAGCACACATAGGGATGCAACGATACCACTGAAGTAACGATACTTACTCGGTATCGATTGAAAAGTATCGATTCTCTTATCGGCGGTTTTGTAAAATTTTGAATAATATAAATGAAAAATGTAACAAGTATTGATATTCTTCATTAATACGAAAATATGTTTTAAAAAGAATTCTATGAAAAAAGTTCGTTTTATAGTGCTTCCCAAAAAGATTAGTTTTTCTAAATGTTAGACGATTTCGCTTTGGAAAACAGCCTTTCGCAGGGTACAGAGGCACCGATAAGGTTTAGATATATTCGCACTTGTTTATATAATGCTGGGAATACGAGTTTTAAATCTTCCCATTCCTTTAATGGGTTGGCTTTTAAAGCGCAAACTGGATTAGCCAAATAAATTGAAACGCCGCCGCTTTCGGCCAACTACAAGTTGTTTGTGATGTGATCAAAAATCAAGTCTTCGTTAAAGGTTTCTTCTTCAGATCCACTGGTTGACGTTGTGATATCTTCCTTAACAATGTTTTTTAATTTTTGTATCGCTTTTCCACATGCATTTACATCTTGGAAATTGATGTTTTGAAACGTGGTTTTTATTGTTCCCAATCCTGTGAGTGTATTAAATTCAATGAGACCAAATCTTACTGTAAGAAAAAAATGAAAAGTACATATACGAGTAAGTACACTCAAGAGCACGTCAAACTTGATACTTTGTATGCACTTTGGACCGTTCTTATCGTAAGCTGCATAGAGTTGCATTTAAATCTTGAGTGTCAAGCTTGATGTGCTCTTGACCGTGTACTTACATAAAATACACATAAATTACAAAAGCAATCAAAATAACCAAATAGCTAATTGTCCTTATCCTACACAAGGCATACGCAAAAAGAAACTCGTTACGCAATTTCAATTATCGAACTACAAGCGATTGAAATATTTAGATATAGAACAAAGAAACTATAGAGTTTGGGGTGTTGTCGTTGTTCCACCTCCACGCGTGCGAAGTCCTTGAGCAGTCTGTGATGACATGTTGTCATAGAATGCCCAAGGATGTAGCTGGTACACCCTGGGGCCAACACTGACAACTCTCGGCTTCAGTCTGAGTCTTACCAGTGAGGGCGCGAAGCGATCAACACGGCCCGGCCATGCGTTTATGAGGGTGGACCATGGCAAGTGGTGGGCGGTCTTAATTTACACCCTCATGCGTTCATGCCTACGCAGTTTAGCGCCGTACGCAGGGATGAAGGAATCCTGGGGGGTTGAGCCCGAGCTGGGTGGGGATCCCGGCAAGCAATACGCCCTCTTCGGCCCTGATTTTCTGCCAAACGGTAGCCCTGTGACTAGCCAACACAGGGAAACGGCAATGTATCCCGTCAGAGGGCCACAGGCGAGTTGTGGGGGGGACGGACTCGGCCATGCTGACGGGGTGAGTATGTGCGGAACACCTGGTTGACTTTGATCGGGTCAGCCAGCCGCACATTTCGAGCCCCCGATGTCGCGCAGTGAGCTCCTAACCTTTGCACCTTTACTGTCCTGATAATCCTGGTGTCCCGAATGGGACATCCCCAAGGGTGCGGGCTCCGTGATGGGTGGGAAATCAGGAGAGTTAATCATAAGAACACTGCAACATGGATTCTGCAGATCAACTAAAATTATTAAATCACCCAAAACCGGTGGTACTGGAGGGGAAACCCAAAAGTGCCCCATCAAGCACAAACTCGAACGTACAGCAGCGCCCTACGGTGAGTGGTAGGCCAAAGGGGCTGGCCGGCGCTTTACTTTTCAGTTGGGCACGGTCTACCTCCGATTCAGGTCAAGAAGAGGAGTATACACTGATGTGCCGCCTGAAAAGGCAGGTACATCGACCAACAAAACGGATACCTCCCCGGTGCCCTCCACCTTCACTGGCTTCACCAGAGAAGGAAAAGGGCCCTCCCTGACCCCCGTCCCGGTGGACGTCGCCAGCCATACGGTGGCGTCCAATAGTGAGGATGAGTGTGTGTCGGCGATGGGAGATGGCAATGTCAAGAACAACTATACTCAAAGGTACACAATCTTCTCATAATAACACATGGACAACCCTTACGGTTTGTAGACAGGCTAGGGAAGCACTCCCAAAGCTCAACGCCAGTCTATCTCGTAAATTAATCAAACTTGAAAGACAAGAGCTGCGCACTCTATCTGCCACTCTAACGGGTCATGGTCCTTACAATAAACACCTTTTCAATTTAGGTATCACGGACAGCCCTCTATGCAGAGCGTGCATGGAGGAGGAGGAAACGGCCGCACACGTCCTACTAGAGTGCTCCGGTGTGGCCAACTACAGGGCAAAGTACCTTGGAGTGCCAAGGTCGCTCCCTGAAGTCTTCAGTAAACCAAAGAGGCTGCTGAGATTCCTGGAGGAGCTTGGGTTGCACGAGTAGGACCCTGCACCCACCACACGCAAAATAGGCGCCTCGACGTCGAGTTGCGGAAACTAGCCCGTTGCACCAATACCAATACCAACTATAGAGTTGATTTAATGTTAATCATTTTTTTAAAATGTTTTTATGAAATGTTAGTAATAAATAACTAACAAAATATTATTGTATTCGTTTTACGAAAATACATTTGCCCGAAATAATGCATAAGAATCGAATGAAAAGTATTATATTATTAGGTATCGGAGGGAAAAGTACTCGATACCAAAAAGTATCGATACTTTCCGTGTCCTTAAACGCGTGCTTGACGTTGGCGGAATATTGTATCGATGGAATCTTATTGATTGATCTTATATATTAGTGGTTTGTGTCGATTGAACAATAACACTTTGTGAAGAAGGAATTGTTGTGATAATTTCTTTAAAGTGAGTAAAACAAGTGAACTCTATGATAAAAGGTAGTTCACAGTCAATTTTGGATTTACTCCAGAGTACTGTACGCGTTTTGCACTCGTAAACAAGTTTTAAAGTGGGTAACTATGTCGCATCCAGTCGACTCAAATCTTACAAAATTATTAGAAGGTTTGGGCTTAGATGGTGAAGATAACGATTTCTGTGACTTTACGATCGCTGACCAGAATTTGGTGGCTGAATCTCAAGGAATTACGCCAACGACATCATCTAATTTCAAACCGGTACTTGGTCGTAACGTCACCTATGTTGTCGCCTGTGTAATTATAAACGAAAAGAAAGAAATACTAATGATGCAAGAAGCAAAGGAAAGTTGCGCCGGTAAATGGTACTTACCCGCCGGTCGCATGGAAAAGGGAGAAACCATCGTACAGGCCACCATTCGAGAAGTTCTTGAAGAAACTGGCTTAGAATGTGAACCAAAAACATTGTTAGTTGTTGAAACTGCTGCCGGAACATGGTACAGGTTTGTGTTAACTGGGGAAGTTGTTGGAGGAGAGCTAAAGACACCAGCGAAAGCAGACAAAGAATCACTTCAAGCTAAGTGGATTTCCAACTTGAAGGAGATATCTTTAAGAGCAAATGACATTCTTCCTCTCATTGAAAAAGCAAAGCTGTACAGAAAAAAAAAAGCAAAGAACCTTTGGCACAAAGACATCTTACCAGCTCCAACACCTCATGCTAAAGATTTGCTCAGATTGATTGTTGTTATTAAAAAAAAAAGTACCAATAAATTGCATGTGCTATTAAGTGAGAAAACATGTATACATTTTCCCATGTGTGAGATAAATCCAGCTAAAAGTGTTCATTCAACACTGAGGAGGTTTATGGTTGAGATGTTTGGTGCAGATGTGGCGCAACACCGTCCCATAGGTCTCTTGAATGTGGAAGCAGCTCCTGAAGCTGAAGGATGCTGTTTGACTTTGTTAGTAGCATTCCGTGCTCCATTGGAAGAGGTCCCTCTAATTGGAAAGTGTGCCTGGCAGGAGGTACATGAAGAAGTAGAGAAAAAGTTACTCTCTATAATAACCACAAAAAATTCTGCGATTGAGTTAGATGTAGTGCGCTAATAAATTCTTGGGATAATGTTATGAAAACATGACAAAAAAGAATACCCAATCGTAGCATTTAGAATGTAAAAATTATAAATTGATCTGTGCAAATGCAATAGAGAAGTTTTTGTATTCAATGTTTGTATTTAAAATTACAGTCACAACATGTGGTTAGGGTATTTTATGGAACTAACAATATATATATATATATATATACATAATGTATGCTATGTATAGGTTAATGGCAAAGCCATTTTTGTTTATTTTGCCAAGTAGTTAAGGTATAAGTTTTAAGATGCTTTGCACTGATTATACCTTCTAACATCATCACATACTAGTATTACTGAGTCATTTAAGTACATTCCAGTTTTATTTGTGTAGGTATAACTTGTTACTAATTTATTCCTCATAATGGTGGACATTATACATAATTTTATAAACAAAGTATATCATGTAAAAGTTAACAGTGAGCTTTAAATTGTCTCCATTTTGAAACCTTGTATTAATTCTAGTTGCTAGACTTGTTACATTTATACACTTACATATTTACCATATTGATAGTTATTATTGTAATAAAGATGACTTTTATATTATGGTTTAATTTACTTTAATGCCAGGCATCCATCTTATTTTACCTACTGTGGATTTGAAAAAACAACCAAATATTTTTTTAAAATGATTTATTAATGCGATACAAAAACATTGCACTGACTAGAAAAATCGAATACCTATTGAATAAAAAATAACAGAAAAGGCATTAATTATATATAATACTCTACAACTAAAGTGTGCTTTAAGCATGTACAATTTTCCTACATAGCCTTCGTTAGCTTTTTGAGAAAAATAATTATAACAGAATTTTGTAAATCTTCAGCAACACTATTAAATAGAAAAAAAGATCTATAATACATATCACATTATACACTTCCCCATTTTCGTTTTTGTAGAGCCACTCACTACTAATATATTTTCTTTATGTGGAACTAAAAAGTGAAATATACAATAAAATATTTCTTTAAAATTAAGTATATTATTGAATCACAATAATAACTAATAAATTGCTACCACAGCTTAATTTGCCAGACACAGTAGGATATACTTTTATATAACAAAATTATTTTGTTTCAAAATAATATTGAATTTCCCTTCATATCACACTCAATTTAACATTATAATTAATGGTAATTCACATACTATGTACATCTTGTACAACATACTGCAGGTCATTTTTGGTAACATACAACATGAAGGTTCCTAAATGTTTTTCATTACGTTATCAAATGTCATCATTATTCGAGTGTGTGACATTGTAAATCATATCATAATAACCTATTTGATAATAATGCAATAAAATTCTTTATGGCACTATTATTAAAATAAGGGATCGTTTTAAACACATAATTTTGATGTACTGTAGTATGAAAATAAAAGTTTTTGAGACAAATTTATTAAATTTCCATGAGTACTGTGCGTAATATAAGTTAGATGGGACTTCACAAACAAAAAGCTTATCATCTAGAAAGGGTCCCAAATTAATGGAATAACATTTCATGTCATATAGAATGACCAACACTACATACGTGCAGTTTGCAATATCTTGCAAATATCCTGCCATCATAATGTTACCAAATTATTTTGGAAGTTGTAGAATGTTAGGCAGGTACCACAACAGCCAATTTTGTAACACCTCAACCAAGGATGCCTCATAATCAAAAAACTACTCAAAGAACAAGTTAAATATGCAACTATTGATAAATACTAAGTTATTATAATTCTTCTAAAATCCTATGAATCAAATGGGCATCAAACCCTTGTCATGGGCAATATCACCTTAACAGCACTGAGAATCAGGCATTAGAAGACTATATACATTAACAGCTTTACCCTTCAAGCTGGACACCTTGTATCCAAGAAGAGAGATCAGCTGATCCAGGACATTCTAAAACATTTTCAGGAGGTTCATCAGCCGCCAGCAACCGCCTTGCTGCAGTTTGACCTGATAGATATGCACCATGAACTGTGGAATAGAAGCTGCTGTGAGTGTGCTCTCCTGCAAAGAGCAATACAGGCTGGAACAAAAAATTCCATTAAATAATTGTTAAAAAGCACAGATGAGTTACTTGTTACCAATCAACAAAATATTTATTTTAAAAAAAATATTAATAATTTAGTTTTGCTGGCTGGCTGATATAGACATCTTATAAATCAATAAAATTTTATAATGATAAAATTTGTTCTGGAAACCTGGTACCTTTTTATCACGAACATTCCTAAATAATGGCTGAGCTATACTCTCGATGTCACTCTGACTGGCTCCAACAGCAATAGCGGTATAAGATCCTCTTGCATATGGCTGCTTTTTCCAACTAGTACTGAAATCAATATTTAGTATATTATGTTAATGAAAATCTATTAAAAATAATTTTTGAGTCTTAGGGTCGTATTCCAGAACTCTACTCAATGCTCAAGTCAGGATTGCACTGGAAATACGACCCTAATTGCAAGGACTTGTGTATGATTTTCAGTGCTCACTGCAATACTCAAATCCTGACTTGAGTATTGAGTAGAGTTCTGGAATACAACCCTTCTAGAACTCTACTCAATACTCAAGTCAGGATTTGAGTATGGTTTAAACCACTCAAAATCATACTCAAGTCCCTACCATTAGGGTCGTATTTCCAGTGCTTGAAATCATACTCAGATCCTGACTTGAGCATTGAGTCGAGTTCTAGAATACGACTTTAAGACTTATATTCTACATTACTTGATAGCACTTACCATACACATTTCTGTGGTTCAGGTACAAATGGGTCATTTAGAAATTTACGCAAAATTTTTGTACATGTAGATGCCACTTCTTCCACTGACAATGTCTCCATGTGTTCAGCTTCTCTGCCTGATAGCCATCCTAGTAAGAGAGTCTCTGTGACTTTAGTGAATGAGTAAATTTTCTTATACCAAGACTGTGATATATCTTCAGGTGCAGATGGAGTCTCCCAAAGCAACATTATTTCTGTCACTTCTGGATTAAGAAAAGGTCTATCGTATTCTAGGAAAATTTTATCTACTGTACCAAATAGTAACCTTTCAATTGACTCCATTTTGTACTGAGGTAGGGGTGGATCAAATATATTAATTGCTTGTTCTTTAAGAACACCTAATGGAATTGTGCATATCACATGGTTAGCATAGAAAGTTTCCCCATTGTCACAAACTATTTCTACATAATTTGGATGTCTCTTTGGTTTTTGTGAAGAGCTTGCAGCAGTAGTATCTTCTGCAGCAGCTTTGCTGGAGGTAGATGCTTTAGAGATGTCTTCTATCACAGTCTGATCTGAGTCCTCTGATTCATCCCCCACATCATCACATCCCTGTCCACGGTTTGAGTCCCAGATAATTTTATTTACAGGGTGATTGTTTATAATTTTATCAGGGGTTATATTTTTAGTCATTGGCTGTAGGATAGTACTATAACCAGATGGTATCGTAATATTTCCTCCTTGTAATTCTGTATAGCTACCTAATTCTAAAAGGTCAATTTCATCCATTGTACTACATCCAGATATACATGTCTCACGTTTCAATAAACAGTCAAATATTTGGCGTCTCAATTTCTTTTCTTCTGATGTTGGTAGACGTTCTAAGTAAATCGTAGCTTCTAAGTTGATATGCTCACCAACACTGTGAATATCAGGTGGAGGCAAATACTGACATAGGAAATACTCTTCACAGCGGTGGAGAAAGCACATGTACGCCTCATGAATCTCATGTAGTACTCCAAATGGTACCTGTTTACCGTCTTCAGTAGCGGCTATAACCTTGTGTGGCTTGGGTACGTTTATAATGTTTACGAGTCCGTTGGACATCGCTATTTCGAAAATAGGGTTACCTAACACTCCAAGTATCCCATTTGCTCCGAGCTCTACGCTATGAGCCTTCATTGGAATAGATATAATTCGTCCTCCGACACGATTTCTCGCTTCTATTATAACAAAGTTTTCTTCACCATTTTTTAGGAGATAATTGGCGGCAGCCAAACCGGCCATGCCGCTGCCAATAATAACGATATCATATTTTTTCGCATCACATTTTTTACTAGAATTTGTGTTGTCGTCACCCATAATATTTAAATTAGTATTTGGAAATAAATTATGTCACTATGCTTTTGACGAACAGGCAGTGGTTTCAACACCCCATGATGTTTATATTTTTAAATTAATATTTTTTTATTTTATGGCCTGGTCACAAATACAATGAGTTTGGCAGTTCTTTTTTACATCAAGCGACTTAACAAGATATCAATCAATGTGATGGACGTTATTTCCTTTATTTCTTTCCATCCTCCAAGACATTAATAAAGTTACTATTCTGTTAACACATCCCTAGCAACTTCAAATCTCAAACGTAACTGTACAGGTATATACATACATCAAGCTTGACACTTTGTACAGTCAAGAACACGTCAAGCAATACTTTGGACGGTTCTTATCGTAAGCGGCATAGAGTTGGATTTAAGTGTTATATAAGTCTCAAGCTTGATGTGCTCTTCACCCTGTGCCAGGTGCAATTTTTGTGCTTACTTTTTAGTAATTATTTATTTACTTTTATTATACCCACTTAATAATTATTTATTTACTTTATTAATCCCACTTCGCTAGCTAGCTAGCGCTAAAGAGTCCTAGGGGGCAGTAGGGGCCTCTGTCCAGGGGGTGCTACCGCATTTGAAAAAAAAAAAACCTGAAATATCTATAGAAAATTTAAACTACAGTACAAAATATATAATTTCTTTTTATTCGTGATTTTTTGTGTTCAGTTCTGAAGTTAATAAAAAAATACGTCTGTTCAATTATTGTTTTTTGTGGTGTAAGCATTAAAATTTTTTATTCTGCTTAAGTTAAGTGGGCGGTGGGCCAAAAAGTTTGAGAACCTATGTATGTATGTACCAAAATAATTTCTAATCCGTGAGTAAGTTTTCCCGTTTTGTATACATACGGTGGCACAAATGCAAACTGCGAGTGCCAGGAACAAAACAAAAAAAACATCATAATAGCCTGTTCACTAGAAAATGGCGGGTTTTATTACTTACATTTTTCTTAGAGGATGGCAAAGTTTCCATGGTATAAACATTTTTACATGAATTAATTTTTAGTTTATGTATATTACGTTGTGTGTTTCTTAATTATTTGTTACCAATAAGCTGATGGCTCTGAAGCACATGCTTTATAAATAAAAATAATACTGTTCACTAGAGACGACCGAATAGGGTTCCTTAGTTGTCAGTTCAAATATCAATCAATAATCGAGTATTATTTTATTATTAGTTTAGTTACGAATATAATACAGTTTAAACTATTGAGCAATTTTCTGAAAAATTTTAAATAATACAAATTAATCCAGAAAAATTAAATAAATAGTTCGAAAAATATATTTTGATCAATCTTTTCGTTCTACGACGTTTAAATATATCTTTTGAAGTTTTATTTACCGTTAATTTTAAAATATATTTGTATAGTTTAAAGTAAGTTAGAGTAAAACGAGATTCAAAATTATTTGGACAACAGCGGGGGAAAAAATAATCATAGGTAAAAAAATCTATAAAATGCCTCTATCATTTTCGTTCAGTATCTTCAACTTTTGATAGATGTCAACTGTAGAAAAATATAGGAAATATGGAGAAATGGATTTTTTTCATGACTCAACATTTATTTCTTTCATAAAGGTCTACTTTTTTATGTAACAAAACAACAAAAGCTAGCACAACGTCGCAGGAAATCGCGTTATGTGAAATAGCGTACGACAGTAGAAGTAACTTTTTTGATTGAGATGTATGACAATAAAAAAATTCCTTTCATGCAAATTCTAATTCTAATCACACGGAACTGTTTACCTTATATGTAGTTTAACCTGGTATGCTCAATCAATCAAACAATCAACCAATCATAAGTATTTATAAGAACTTTTCTTCGAAAGTCATTCCCCCACTGTTCTCAATTCTACATAGCAACAGCAAAGCAGTTGCTTCATTCAGTAGCGCTCAACATAATATGCATCATCATCACTTATGTGATGATGATGCATATTACACACGTTTACAAACATTTTGAGATTCTCTATAAAATGTTGTTTTGTAATTTTTGTTGAGTAGGCTACAGAATTCTTTATATTTTTTGTAAAAAATACTCAGAGGCGTATTTATATTTCTTTCGGCTTTATTGAAACAGTAGTTTAAAAGTTACGGGCAATATCCCTGAAAATGAAATAAATAAATAAAAAGAAGCTACGGCTAATTTATAGAGCTTATACAAAAATAATACAAAAAAATTGATGTCGAATTGTATTCTTTAATGGATCATGATATTACAATATCTGGCGATAAATATTGTAACTGTTATGAATGTATTAGTTATTTTAAAATTTTGATTGTCCGTCTCTATTACACTTCACTTGCCATGCGCTCCCCCTCGTCTCTCCTTCGTCTCGCAAATCGTTATGCAGTCTTATTCTATCTTATGAAGATTCATATATCTATCACTTTTTCTCATGACCTTTGATTATGCTGAATAATAATATCAAAAATCTTTGTTTACTTCTCAACTGTGTTCAGGGAAGTGTTTTTGTTATTGTGTGTGAAAATATTTCAATTTTATTAAGACTAAAGTCCTTTTAGTGGTTTCATGCAACAGATTTCGCAAGAAATATTGATTAGTGTCCTGTGCAAACTGGTGAACTGTTACGTATTGTGGAAACTGCTGTTGGTCAAATTCGATATCGAAAGTCATTGTGAATAATCAACTGGATATAGAAAATTTAATTCGGGATTGTCGCATGACGTGGTTATGTAATCAAGGATGTGATACTGATTTGTGTCAATTAATATCAAAATAAAGCTTTTAGGAGCAGTAAGCATATCAGATCGCGAGGAGGAAATAAATAAACATTGGCGGGCGACACGTGGGTCTCGTGTTGAATTAATCGATAGACATACGAGGCGCGCGCCAGTCTCTATCAGTGAGACTGTTCTGCGTCAAGGTCGCCGTACACAAACACGTGTGATGGCGGATTCTATTTACACACATGACTTTCTCCTAGATCCTGGTGTGGAGATAAAACTGGAGTCTCCTCTCGAACTCAGCTCTATGTCAGCCTCTGTACCCATTCCACAGCGCCGTGCTGACTTCGACGACTTTGGCAATGACCTAGACTTATGCCTCCAGGACAATCTAGCTGGCTCTTTTCATAATGTACCCAATATGCAGTACAACAAACTCACCTATGAAGCCGACAATAGTTCAAAAATGGACACCTTCAGAATGGATGATGATGACATATTCCAAGTAGACAAAGCCGATTTAATATTAGGCCCAACACTGGCCGAGTTGAATGCCAATCCTGACACATTGTTAGATGATTTGAATTTTGATGATTTACTTTTGCCAGAGGAGAGTGGCTATTGTGTACAGATTGGTGGGGCTATGAGTGGGACACGCAGAACTCCAATGCAGACTTCAAATACTCTGGCACCAGAGAGTCCTTGTAGCCCATATAGTCGGACACAGCATACCTTTTCTCCCTCGAGTCAGCACAGTTCAGCTTCTTCTAGTTTTGCTCAACCTATGAACCAGTTACCAGAATTGTTAATGCGTATGGATAGCTACAGTGGAGAGATAGCCCTTGGGCAGTCAGTTCCAGCGTCCACAGTCTTGCCACCTTTCCTGACTAGTATGAAGCCTCAGCACACACAGCTATCCTCATCAGCGCCTACACATCTCACCATGGAACAGGTTGGATTTATTTTTATAACATAAAATACATATCTCAAAAGGCTTTTTACAATATCTAATAGTGTTATTTTGCAGGTAGCTACATTAAAACATTTGCAAATTATTATCGTGCAATATACCTGTACGCTTATATCTGTGACTGCATATTGACTTTTTAAATTCATGTGTGCACACCCATGTGATATTAAAGAAACATGTTACACCTATAGTTAAGTCTGTAGAAATGCATGTAAGTAAATGATACTATATCGCCAATATGTTTATATGCCTAATGTTTAACTGGACACAGTGAAACTATACAATTTTGTTAACCGACTTTAAAAAAGGTGGAGGTTCTCAATTCGACTACATGTTTTTTTTTTTTATGTATGTTACGTGATAACTCCACCATTTGTGAACCGATTTTGATGATTCTTTTTTGTTGGAAAGAGGGTACCTCCATAGTGGTCCCATTTAATTTTGAATGAAAATTCATCCACCTCTAAGGGTGGTTGTTCACGCATGAAGATTCATTTTTATAAATAGCACCTAAATTTTATTATAAGGAGCAGTTATTTTAATGGTTGATTGCATTTTTCTCTCTCTATAGTATACTTTGAGTAGTAAGCACCGATTTTTGTCAAGTTCCATATAGTGGAGAACTAGGGAATGAATCCGGGTTTGCGCACTTTCCGATAACCAATCTCAATAAAACTTGGCAAATAGATGTAATTCCACGTACTTTTGAGGTCGGTTTTTTTAGTACTCTGTACTGAGATTATTACATATCAATTTCTATACAACCTGTTTTCACCAATGAATGAATTAGTATGTAAGTAAGAATTTATAGTAATTGTAAATAAAAATTACACATTGAACTATCATATATAATTTTATTGAGATGACATTGAAGCCAATCTTCAAAATATTTTGCATATGGCAATTTTAACAGCTTTACATTATTGATTACATAATCTATCTAATGAGGTTGATGGAAAACTGTCTTTAAAAATAAATGATTTTTTGATATAAAAAACTATACAGGTAAAAACGAAAATAATTTGTTATTATCATACAGAGTGGGTGTAGTCTGGTAGATGTAAACATGTTTTTGTTTAACACTCAAATCTAATCTTTTGTGATGTTAATATGATAGTAAACAAGGCATAGCTTGGGGCAGGTTATGTGATTTGGAATAACAATTTTAGTAATTAAAAAACCAATTTTAGTAAAATAATACTAAAAATAAATATTGTTGACATCTTGGGGTATGAGTGTGCTTTAGGGTAAAACCTGACTGAGATTTCATTACCAAAAATGTATTTTTATTTGCCCTATTTATTGATTTAAAAAATATAATATTCATAAAATATATGTCGCACATTGAAACCAATATCATCACTTAATAAAATGTCAACTTTTGCAAAATAACTTGTGTTGGTAAAAATACATTTAAATTTGAAAAAAAAAACCAGTTCATTTAGTGACGGTATTGATTTCAACAAGTGATATTCATATTGTGATTTCTTACCTTAACAAACCATGATTTAACTTCAATTGTACATCCAGACGCTAGCAAACAGTTTGTAAACAGTCCACTCCTTCATACACTTATGCAAATGTTTTATTTTGTGTATTGTTTTGACAAAATCTTATAATCCTTTGTTGATATGGTATGACGGGTATCCGCAATTCGCCGTATAGGCGCCAATTTTGTGTGTGATCTATGGTGATCTTGTTATTTAAGTATCTTGTTTGTAAATAGATCTGGCAGCGTCGCGAACCAAGGAAGCACCTTTTGTCCACCAGTTCATTGGCGGAAGCCGGGTCAGTGTCATCTCTCTCAGGAGGTCTCCTAAGTCCTACAGGAGACTACTCACAGGATGAAGATGAAAAGGAAGCAGAGACCGATGAGGATAGTGACAGATATGAAGATCTTTCGTCTGATGGTAAGAATGATAATTATACTTAGGTACATAAAATGTATATTATGTTATTCTTATGTATAAAATGGAAAGAGCAGAATGTTTAGTAGTATCTTTATTTTAACATTGATAACTTAAATTAAATTTTACGAAGTTTAATATTATTAGTTTATACAGGGTGACCTGAAACTCGATACATTCCTTCTGAGGGGTGAAAGTAGACTTAATTTGAAACAAATTTAGTCATGTGATGCCCTGTCCAAAAATGAGTACTTTCGGGGATATTGAAGATATTATGTTTTTTGTTAAAAATCCCGATTTTCAATGTAATTTTTTTTTTGCTGAAAAGTTTATGTCTATTTCTTGTTTGTTTTTGCTTTAGCCGGTAGTTATTGAATCAAAGTTATTGTTTAATAACAATAGGGCACGAAATAACTGTTACATTAACTATGGTGTTTCAAAAATGATAAAGAGATACTTAAAAATAATAATTTTGTACTTACTAAATGGAGTGCATTGTAACAAAAATGTCTGGGACGATGTGTACAAATTGCTTAAACTACTTTCTTGTATTCTTACCTATTTAAAAAGGTACAAATGTTAACTACAATGCTAAGGTTTCTAATACAACAGACAATGTCCTAACGGGTACATCTTCCAGCAATAGATCTAAATGATCCCTCAAAACATCATTAAATATTTTTAAGTCTGTTTTTAATTTTGTTTGATCATTAGACATTTCGTAACTATCTACTACGAAAAAAATAATGGTCACTTTAGTAATACTTCATTTTTATTTTATAATTTGTTTTTGCCCTTACCCGGTGTATTATCGTGTATTATTGGTAACGTGGTTACTTATGTACTGGCTACGCAAGGAGCACGTGTTTTCTGATACAAAATGTTTATGTTTTGTTTTAGAATCGAACGATGAGTCGGAGAGTAAACAGGCGCGACACATTGCAAAGAAGGAAAGATATTTCTGGCAGTACAATGTTCAGGCAAAAGGCCCCAAAGGACAAAGGCTGGTATTGAAAAAGAACTCTGAGGACCCTCACATCTTGAACTCGGTTACTGATCCAGTTTTCAGCCCTAGTTGCAGCGTTAGAGGCATTAAACATAGGTAAGAAACTTAAGCATCACGCATAATGCTAGATTACCGTTATGACTCTTATTACTAAACAACATGCATATTAATGTACTCCGTATGAAGATACGCTTTAGATTTAGTAGCAGTAAAGCTCCCTGTGAAATAGTTCATTAAGGGAAGTACTGCCGCCTTACCTATTTCTGCCGCCAAGCAGTAATGTGAGCATTACTGCGTTCCGGTTTGGAAGGGTAAGGGCTGCTGGTGAAATTATGGAACATAGAACTTGTCAACTTATGTGTCAAGGTGACAGACGCAGAGTGCCCTTCAGATCTTTGCGGTTTAAAGCTCTGGGTGTCACTGCAACTGTTATGGATAGGCGTGTAGCTGGTGTTACCTGCCACACGACATGTTCGTCCCGTCACATGATATTATAAAAAAACCTTTCAAGTTAAAAGTTCCACCCTTACTGTCTTATATTTGACGATCAATCCACATTGTCAGAATCTTAAAAAATATTTATTTTTATTAATTTCTAGCATGCTTCGCAGTGAATGTTATTCATAATTGCTAAATGTGTGAGTTTGTTTCTTTTGTTGGGTTACTTAAACAACAAAAAAAACCCGTTAAAAAAACAGGGTAAATCCCGTTCATAAAAACGTTAATAGTTATTATAATGACCGCGAAAGTCTTAAAAAATATTATTCATACTAGCTATCTTTTCCTGATGTATTTCGCCATACCATTTGTAATGTTATCTACTTTTGCAAAATATTTTGCTATTCACACACACGCGGAAATAATTCCTTGAAACGAGGCTAATACCGGCTTAAACTCGTGATTTTTACACTCAATAACATATATATAGATAAGATGATGATAAGTTACCTATCTTTTATTTTGTAATAAGTTTGTGCCTATTTCAAAACAGGAAAGTATTTTTGTAATAGACAAGCTACTAAGGCTTATTCCCAGTTGTCACTACTGGCTTTGTTTCTAGTGGCGACAAATAGGAAAAAAAAATCCATTGTCAGCATTTGTCTAATATGAAGTATCATAGCGTTTATAGAGAGTTGAGTAGTTGGGTATCTGTATGGTTTTGTGATGCATCATCTTGTGCACAGCCCGTGGCGCAGTTTCCAAATTAATAAATGCCGTAAACAGACTTAATAATAACAGTAATCAATATCAAATTTATTGCTTATCTTATTGGATAACTTAACTGCAAAATAAAAGTGAAATGCGAAATATAGAAATCAGAGAGAAAACATCACCTAGAACTATTTTCATTTGAAGGAATGCTACGATCTTAATGTACTAAGTTTTATTAGGGAAAAGTTCACCTATAGTTCGTCACAACCGAGCCTTAAGATTAATAGCGGCTTATTCCCAGTTGTCACCACTGACTATGATCCCACTGGCGACAAACGGGATAAAAAAATCAGTTGTTTCCAGTGGTGATTTTTACTGGCGATAAATGGGAAGAAAACCCACATGTTAACAAGTGGTGATAAATTCCCTAATAAAACTTAGTACATTACAATCGTAGCATTTCCTTCAAATGAAACTACATTAATATAGTACAGTCAACCGCACATCAAGCTTGACACTTTGTACTTTGGACCATTCTTATCATAAGCGGCATAGAGTTGGATTTGAGGCTTAAGTGTAAAGCTTGACGTGCTCTTGACCCTGCACGTAGGAGTTGTTTTCTCTCTGATTTCTATTTTTCGCATTTCACTTTTATTTTGCAGTTAAGTTATCCAATAAGATTGGCAATGAATTTGTTATTTATTACTGTTATTATTAAGTCTGTTTACATTCCACGCGGTGAGTAACGCCTCTAATATACTGTTGTATATTTAACTAGGTATAAAATGTATTTAATTATACTTTGTCGTTTACGATGACGTCACGGCATTAGTTATCTATGACTTCAACTGGGCCGATATTATTGACTGCAAAAAATCCATATAAGTATGCTAGCAATATATGGCTCAAAACCATTATTTTTCTTAATTATAAAAATAAATTAATCACAATAGCTATATGAGACTTTCTTCCCAACCCACACTAGGTTCTATTCGAATCCGCGCTCATATCTGCTCCGGAAAATTGTCTGTCTGTGACTGCCTGCTGCTGTTTTTTCTTTATTTTCTTTTATATTTTGTAGAAGAGAGGTTCAATTGGTACTATAGACAACAATTCATAGCCAACCATATATACGCAATCTTACATAATTCACAAGACATCTTAAAAACAGTATAATACATTGCCCTTGGGTTCCTCTCCTATCATACTTTATCTCAATCTGAGGAAGGTACCAGTAAAACGGCATTTATAAATTTAAGCCAAGTGTTGTGCACAAGATGATGCATCACAATAAAAAAGAATGTAGTGTTATTTTACCTTTTTCTTATCTAATAGTAGATGCGCGATGACAACCGGCTCGTACTTACTTATTTTTTTATATACCTACACACATACACATTTCACCCTCACATACACTTGGTTGGTTGTTGTTAATCTAAAAAAAAAAATTTAAACTACCTAGTAATCATAATTTACCATAACAATGCTTGTAGAGTAGATAAATAACCGAACCACTGACTTTCACAACGCTGTTTAGCCTAGTTTGAAAGTCGTAATCATAATCGTTAAGTCAGGGGACAGATAACATAAGACAATACTAACAAGCAACATAATGAATTGTAAATTTTTAGCAATACCACATAATCTGTGTCTTAAATAAATTGTAATTGTTATTATTATTTTTGCAATAATTCTCAGTGGGAAAGCAAGAAAAGGCGATGGAAACGATTTGACACCGAACGCGCGAAAGTTATATCTAATCGGCAAAGAATTGGATAATTTGAGTAAAATTATAAACGACATGATACCAGTAAGCGAGTTGCCGTTCAACGTACGACCAAAGACGCGCAAGGAGAAAAATAAGCTAGCTTCTAGAGCTTGCAGATTAAAGAAGAAAGCGCAACATGAAGCAAACAAACTAAAATTATATGGCTTACAACAGGAGCACAGTATGTTAAATATTTTAAAAAAAGAATATTTATTAAATTATCCCTGAACTTTAAACTATGCGTGCAATGAAAAATATTATAATTATGTTTATTTTTTAATTTCAGAACGTCTTCTCAACGGTATAAAACAAATGAAACAGATTTTAAGCACCAGAGTGACCAACCCCCAGAACAATACTGACTGGTCTTCAAAACTTACGGAAATAGTGAATACATCCACAGGTAAATCATGAATGTACAATTGCCCTACTATATTTTGCATCTTTATAATTTATCGTAGGTGACAAATAACGAGGATAGAAAAGGTGACAAATCACTACAAAAAAATATTACAAGTGCAATTCATCCGTATTATTTAGCTTAAAGTTAGATAATTATTCCTTCCGCGTAGGTACTTTATGAATACCACAATATCTGCGTGTATTTTTTCATTACTGACGATCTCGTACATATTTAATTTAGGTTGTCTTTGTAATAAACTACTTTTCATTTTATTACAGAAGTAAAAATAGCTGGAAAAACATCTGAGTACGTCAATAAGGTTCTGGATAAAGTCAAGGCGGGTCAGAACGACGGCGGACTTACCGATATGATGTAAACGTAATCAAATACACATTTACAGAATATGAATAATAAAACGAAAGGCTGTTCTATGTACCTCCAAAGTTATTTAGAGAAGAGAGTTTCTATCATATAAAAGGTGAATTGTCCAAGACAATTTTATTTTTGTATGGTAACAGAATAATGTAGAATTAGTCATTAGAAGCTTTACAGGCAACTAAGATGAAATGATAATTTTCGTATATAAACAATATTACGCCATATGTTGATTTTTTGTTCTTGATTCTTGATAATTGCTAAAGCACATACTGCATGTGAAAAAAAAAAAACAAATGGTTATTGTCATTATCGTACGGTTAGTAAATAATTAATGTAATATACATTTAAGAATGTAGAACCAAAAATAAATAGTTTATGGGAATGCTGTGTAGTACATTAAAATAATTGTATTTCGTTTTAAAAATATATTATCATATAGATTTAAAAAATCTACATCACCAAGATTAAATGATTATAAATCAATATTTTTATAATGACCATCCATCGAAAGTGCAATATATAACCATACATAACAAAAGTTATTAACTTGTTAAATTATCGCTTTAGAAAAAAACTATTTACTCGAATCGCTTAATGAGCTCAGTTAAAAAAATTTTGAAAATGAAAAAAAAAATCAGGGCTGATAAATTTAATATATTATAATAATGTAAAATTACAATTAAAAACCTGGTGAAATTGTAATTGTCTTAAAACTTAAAAGAATGCATTTACAGAATTAAATGCAATGACATAAAAAGAAAATTTATAATTTGAGCTCATACAAGTTTTGAGATAAATAAAGTTTCACATTTTAGATTTAAGAAATTCTTATATTTAAGTAGAACGCTTCCACATATTTATGAACATGTAGTTAGAACAGATAGAATGTCTTATCATGCGTATCATTAGGTATGCTTGTTGGTAAATAGTATTGAATATATGTATGCAGACGAGACTGAATTTTTTTATAAAATTATATTTAAAAAACAAAAATCAATTGAAAAGTACAAATATACTCAGTCTCCAATAAGTCTTATGAATAAGAATAGTTTGACTGAATACCTTATGTGCAAGTTTCGCTTCTAGATTTCTGGAATAGTCCTAACACATGATATAAATCTTGTTCTATATTTTAACCCTGGTATGTTTTTGTATTAGACACTTCCGTCTGAGATACTTCATTATGCCATGTCACTTATTATTATGCCATGTCTGGCTGTGTTGATATTGCCATATCTCGTTATATCACTGGAAGCGTTCTGTGTACATATAATTATGTTAAACATAATTTGAAGACCTATCTGGACCGATTATATGTAAATGTCAGAGCAGGATCGTGTACGACTTAAGAAATTAACAGACTGTTTCTTTATTTGCTTTTTTGCCAATATTTTTTTAAGGGAACTGAGTTTTGGGTTAATAAGTTGGTGTGTTTACGGTCTGTGAGGTTCTATTAAAAATCGATGCATATTTTTGGGCTTTTATAGAGTCAGATTTAGTTGGCTATCACAAGTGTGAAATTTCACAGCAGCGATAAACGTTGTTAGAAGATTGCATATACTCCACAACCGCTCGTCAACTTCCTTTCCGCGAGGTGCGGGCCGTCAGCGCATTTCTCTTATCGCCCTAACAATGCCAATGGTCTCCGTTAATTTGTTAAGTACGTACGAAACGCAGTTTTCTGTTAACCGCGCGTTTTAGTAGGTTTAAAACACTGTCAGTTACATTATGAACGATATACATAACACTAATTAAAGAATAGGGTATTTGACAAGTATCGAACATTAAATGCTTGTCATTAAAAACTACTTTTAAAGATGACGAATATATGTTTACACTTCATGGTCAACAGTGAAAACAGAATTGGTTGTTACATGCATTCATTCATCACGAGTTGGAAAGAAACGGTAATAGTGGTCTATAACATCACACTCTAATGGCGCTGTACAACCTGTATGTTATTGATCGTTATCCAAAAAGAGAAAAATTCCATCTCATTGATTAAAACCAAATAATATCTTGTGTGTAATAATATTTTAGTTGAGTTATCGAAAAATTAATTTTAGATTAATTTTTAACATGCTCAACACATGAAAGAAGCAACTAAAAAATTTTAGTCAAATACCCTTTCACTTTAAAGAATTGTTTACGAATTTGTTGCAATCTAAAAAACCCTTATTAGACAAGTAAATAACTTTTTGTTTTCCATGAAAATAAATTTGTTGTACAATAATATGTAGGTAGGTACTCTTTTAATTTCGTTATAAAAAGGGTTGGTTTATTTTTATTATTTGTTAATAGTTAAACAAAATTAGGATACTCATTAAACTCCAAAATCGTATGTAAAATTTTTGCAGTTTTAAATCTCTACCATTGAGCATTTGCTACGCCTCTTGCATTGAGTTTCTAGTTAAATGTTATATATCTTTAGTAAAGTAAGATATATATAAGTGTAGATTTTTTTTACTGTTTATCTAAGATATCGGGTTATTATTTTATGTGAAAGTCAACATAATATTTTAAGTAATATCATCATATAATGAAGTTTAATATTTTTGTATTATTGACATTATTGTGTATATAGAGCACATATATTTATTGTTAAATCTCGTTTTTTTTCAACTTGTGTAGTTTATTTTATTGTTCAAGGAATTTGAGGATCGGACTTGTTAAAGGAATTGTTTTTAAACGTACAAAGAAAATTTTGTTTTTTGTTTAACCACCTACATTGATAGCTCAAAATACGTTATTTTTCTAGCCGATATAAATTACTTGTTACGCATTACACCTAAAGAGTGGTAAGGTGCCTACAGATTAACTCCACTTTTTGACTATCGATACTGTGATTTTGTTAATCAACATGTGTGATTAGCAATGGTCGGAATAGGGTGTTCCAAATGAGTAGATAAACGTCTACATATAAATACATGGAGTGGTTGAAACCACCATATATTAATTTATATTTTCGAATTCCGAATTTCCGGAAATAGTTTTACTGCATCGTAAGATAAGACTACTCACTTAGGAAGCTGAAGTTCGATTTTAAAGTACATAATTCTAGAAGCGCCACGGACTAAAATGAAGTAGATAAATAACCTTTCACCAAAATAAACGTTTTTTAAGCACTACAAGCAAAAGCTTATTTTACCTAATGCGGATATTATTTATTATTATTTTATTACATACACAGTTATTTTATAACGAATTATGAATTTGAAAAAAAATATATACATAATATTCGGTGGTTTTAACAACTTATGTCACTCCTTGTAACTATGTTCTAAATGAGTAGATAAATGTCAACATATTATAAAAGTCTACATTTACAACACCCTATTCTGACCATTGGTCATCAGACACAAGTAAACTGTGTGAGAAGTAGACGATCGCTATCGCATTTTTCGTAGATCAACACGTGTCGATGGAAATCGAGCAAATCTGTAGATACCACTAAGATTATTATGTAAATTGAATTTATAATACACCTTTTAGAATTACCAATCAACTTCTTTTGGTTGAATTGGCTTCTTGAAATAGGTATCTGACTTTGTACCAATAACTTCAATTAAATTACATGCAATATTATCTAATTATAATAGATACCAAACTTTTTAACTGGTCTGCGATTCAATAGGCTGTGCTAATTTGTATAAATTCATAAGTTTGTTTTTCAAATATTTTAAATCACTGTAATATTGTGTTATGTGTATTGATCGACATTCAATAAATCTTTAAGATATTGAAGTTGTTTGCTTTAATGGATTCAGAGCCATTAATTTCTATCAGTAGATATAAAAAAAACAAGTATAAATAATACAAAATAATTTAAATTTTATTCAAATATATAAATTAGAATCTAATAAACTGTTTACTCCAGATGTTGATTTTTCGGTGATTTCTAGTTTTTGGAGAAGTTTTTCTATTTCTTCAATCTGGTATTCTTCTGGATGTTCCATGAAACAAACTATAGCAACTCCGGTCTCATCTTGATGTTCTCTCAATGTGATCACTGTGAAATACAGAAACAAAATACAACATGGAAGTGGGATTTCTAAAGATTATTAACTATATTAATTTGAATCAAAGTACAAGCCAATATAATACTAATAGTATAATAAGACAAGTAGCGTTACTTGGGGTCTACTCCCTTTTTCCGTCTAAAACAATCAGGCTCAATTTATATTGCGGCTGAACGGAATGGAAGCGGATTTTTGTAACAATATTGTACATAGTAATGAACTTTATGGTCAATTGTGTAACGTACAAACAAGGTACGAGCCAAAAATCACATCGCGCGTCTTTCACGGAATTCTTGCGAATGCGCGAGCATTTTCGAGAATTTCGAGAAAGAAAGCTTTCTATTATGGAGATGGCACGTTCAAATGTGTACCACGCCCATTTTACCGGGTATATACAATTCACCTGGATTTAAATTCTACTAAAAGTACAATTAACATCATCCTCGTTATTTACGCCCTTTTGCCTAATAAAACCCAGGATACATACATGCGCCTCTTTACCATATTAAAAAATCAGCTGGGACTAAATACTAGACATTTTAAGTGCGATTACGAAGTGGCAGTTATGCAGACAGTCAGCGAAGTTTTCCCACAAGCTAAAGTTAGTGGTTGCTTTTTCCATGACCAACAAGCTATATGGAAAAAATCAAAAGATATGGGACTGAACACAATTAGAGCAAACAGAAAAGTTATTCGCATTGTCGCTGTTTTGCCGCTTCTGCCACCAAGATACATACCAGAAGGTTGGCAATTTATTTACGGCATGATAGAACCATAGTCTTTAGAAATGAAACGTTTTCAAAATTATTTAGAGCGGCAATGGCATCGCCTGACTCCCACTTTAATAAACTGTGCTGGTCAACATCACCAGACCACCAACGCTTTAGAAGGATGGCACCGAGGCTCAACGTTAAGATTCCAAAACGCCAAAGTTTATTTCATTTTATACACAAAATCAGAGGAGAGTCTAAGCATTTTGATAAAATTATTAAGAAAAGTCTCTTTGAAAGTGGAAGGAAAAATAGAAACAATAAAGACATGATATTCGACAAAAAATATAAGCAA